CATAGAACATGCATACATGAACAACATGTGCTTCATCTTCAACTGATCCACAATGTTTACAAAGAGTCTTAGGATCACCTAAACGCAATATTCTTTTTCGGCAAAATTGTATACCCAAATTATTACATCCAGATCTGAATTTAGTTAACAATCTTTTCTGTAAATATGATAGCTGCATAGATAAATAGAGTTCACAATCTAACAAAGAATTTTGCGTTTTGTAAAATGACAATGCAGAGGAATCTAAAGACAGGTGCCATTCTTGGGAGGAACAAGTATAAAATCCCTCTTTAAATTGGTTTAAAAATAATTCGGTATCTCCAACATTTTGAGAGATCCATACTATACCATAGCCATATCTAAATAATAAATCGCGTACATGTGTTGCCAAATTTGGACGTTTTCTATCGATAATAGATAATAGTGATAAATAACATTGATATGGATACCTATCTATATTCATCTGCAATAATCTTATCCAGTATTTGATACATTTAACACTATAAACATTATAAAGAGGAACTCGCCCACATTTCCATATACAACATCATTGGGTGATTTATAACCAATATGTAGCATAAATTTACAACATTTTCTATGAACAATCTCCATACTTTCAACTCTACGATATCCCCAAATGTCTGCAGCATAAGACAAAATTGGTACAATTTTTTTATCAAACAAATAAAAAGATTCATTCAGAGACAATTCAAAACGCCGAATAAAAGATTTTAAAGGCCACAATGCCTTATTAGCTTGAAATCCCTTTAAGTGTAATAAGTATTTATAGTTAGTAAAAAACATTTGAACGAGTGCAGTAGTTTACCTGAATACAATGCTGAGTCATCACTTCCGCGCCCTCTGATAGGCGAAAGCCACAGCTTTGATTTGTAAGACTGAATTTTTGGGATCCGTGAGCCAATTTCACACCAGAATACATATTGAAACCTTTGGGCCTCTCAGTACAAAAATTACCTCCGGGTTCTAGCAGTTGTGGCCATACTCTGTGACCTTGATCGAACTTGTCTTGCGCAAATACCTTCAGCATGTAAACGGTTCCTCACTGTCTGGGCCGATATCCTAGGCAATCCTGGTATTGCCGGGAGGTGGTCGTGATGGTTCTTCACGTAAGTGTACTGCTTTGTGGCATATATCTAGTTTTGTGAGATGTTTCAGATGGCCATTGATTCACTTTCAATGCCGATTATTTGGAAAACATCAAATATTATACCTGTCCAAAAAAAAGCAATATCAATCCAAAAATAATGCTTATCGTCCTTTTGCGCAGTGGAACTAAATAGTTTTTAGCGTGGTTTAACTTAAATGAAAACTAATCTAAATTTGAATTACTTACCTGTGAAATCACCAGGAACAAAATGTGAAAACCTATTTGTAAACTATGGAAGATCTACAAGGAACTTAACTTGATTCTCTAAATTATGTGCCAAAAAGATGAAGAAACTTGAATGAAGAAAGTAAATATCTACTGCTAATTCTAACTGGCTGATAGTATGGATACTTATGCCACCCCTCAGGTAGTTTAATACTAACTAACGCAACTAACTGATTGATGATCGCTACCGCCTTATATCTGTGCACAACCCTCGAATTTCATGTGCAGTCATAGCCATACGTTGGTGTGTTCATGCGATGAGATCTTTATGCATCTAGTGCGTTTTGGAGAAAACTTCTAGATTTAAAACTAACATGTCTTCAGAACAGTTTATGACTGCACGTGAAGCGCGATCAATAGACTCCGGGTGCTTTTGGAGAACATTTCGAATTAACCAACATGTCTTCAGAACATGCCCCCCTCCCTGATAGACCTATGTCTATCATGAAAACCGACTAAACTGAGAAGAAACTGATGTGTCAGACTATTTTTTGTTGTTTTTTCCTCGGCATTTAAAACCATTCAGCCTAATTCATCTTATAATTCAAAAGGTTAAAAATGTTAACGTAAAAAATCCAACACTATTAAATGGGTGGTTGATTTCTTTATAAATTGACCACAATGTGTCTTGGTCATGTTTCAACGGGGACTCCGCTAGGTTGTGTTATATCTCCTATATTATTTATTTGATACACAAATGACTGTATTAGCATCTGTTTTAACGTCAAATTTTCAGACGACTGCACTTGTAAGTCTCGTATTGGATTCGGGGGTCAAGTTCAGAACAGAAATTTCAACATTTACATGGTGCGAATCAAATTTCCTGTTTCTAAATGTTAAAAAGACTATCAAAAAGACAATCGACTTTCGGAGAAAACAGTCCAAACTGGATCCACTCATAGATAATGAAGAAATTGAAATTGTTACTGAAGATAATTATCTAGGTATAATTATTGATTCTACACTTTCGTGGAATGACAATACCGATTTATCTACTTAGTCCTTGAGACGTTTTAAAATCTATCCCACTGTTATGCCCTTGATTTAAAAAAACCAAAAAAAACCCCTCTATACTAAGTATTTTAACTCTCAAGTTTCCGCTGCTGGCATGGGGGTCTGTCTGTTTCAAACACAAATTAAATACACAAAATTGTAAATAATGCTATCAACATACTTGGCTTTTCTTCACAAAACATCGGCATTTATAAAGAGCAGCAAAGTGTAATTAAGGCGCACAAAAGTTTTAATGACATTTCGCCTAACTTGTTTTCGGAGTATGAGCTTTTACCTTCGAGTGAGAGAGTGAGGTTTTGCGCCGCTTTTAGCAATATTCTAGCAATATCACGGAGGGGGACACCAGTAATGGGCTTCACACATTGTATCCATAGTCGGGAATTGAACCCGGGTCTTCGGCGTGACGAGCGAACGCTTTAACAACTAGGCTACCCGACCGTCCCTCAATCATTCGATCGAAGCAGTCAGTATTCGATTACTTAACAACAAACCATGTGATATATTTGTCTAGCTATACCACATTTACCTAATCTGTGTACCGTTTAATCAATGCCTCACGTGCTTCCTTTTAACACGTGTTTCTCCTTTATTCAGTGACCATAAAATAAATATATTTTATGATATCTGTTTATTGTAGAATTGTGTACGGCACTCATCAATAACCTCCATTATTTCAATTCATTATTTTATCACGGTATTCCATTGAATAGCATACACAATTGGAAATAATAAAAATAAAAATGTGTTAAACATTGCAAACTTTAGCTGAGTTCTGTCAGTGAACATGATCGTGTGTAGGCATGGGAAACCCCAGGTATTTTCTTCGACCTGTCACGTGCGGCGAGTAATGTTTGTTTCTATATATAGAACACCATGGGTCATTTACTAGTTTCAACCAATGAGAGTGAGGCTGTGTTTCCGCCGTTGTGTTTGGAGGTTATCCATGTCGTGTACTAAAAGTATCGTGTCAAAATGACGAGCAACAAAATTGGTGTAAACCTTAGGGTGTCTGGAAATTCGAGTCAAGGTGGTAGGCGTTATATGGAAGACACACATGCTACAAGATTCATTCGACAAGACGGTAAAGATTATGAGTTTGCCTACTTCGGAATCTTCGATGGACATGGCGGTCCTGAGGCATCAAGATTTGCGCGAGACAACTTACTGGATGAAATAACAAAATACGATGCATTTTGGAGTGAAAATGACGAGGACATTATGTGGGCTATTCGAAATGGCTTTCTCGACACGCATCAAGCCATGTGGAGAGAAGTGGGTAAGTGGCAGTTGTCGAGTGTGCTGAGGCTTAGTGACTTATTCACTGCCGAGAAATTTTCACTCACACCCAGGTTTAGTGGTTTTCATACATGTACCTCTCATTGTTGAACGCACAGTTGAATAAACGATATGACTAAAAAATGACGTACGACGAACATCTGCATTAATTCAACTCGATGTTGGGGGGTAAATGACAGAACGGAAGTTGTTTTAAACTGTAATATCGCGCGCTATTTTCGTAGCTGTTCGGTCCGTCAATATAATATGACTTCTCCGGACATGGCCCTTTCGTGCCGTTTCTGTTCTCTTATGGTCTCCTGACTATTTATAAACGCATTATTTTTATTGAATCATTGGATTATTATTAGTATTAAATCAACAGTATTCTTCGGTCTGACGTGTAAATATCTCTGTGGAAACTTCTTTTCAAAAAGTAAATTTAGCGCGTATCAGAATCGGGCAATCATTTCCGCGAAGCGAGATCAAGGTCAAGGTTGTCCCACATTCATGTCTGTACTTGATCATGTTGCGTTGGTGGCACAAGGGATGGGCTAGTCAGTTCGTGTCGGGGCAGCTATTCCATTTATCATAAACCAGATAGAATTGATCTGTTATTATTTCTCTCAGCGTGGAAGTAACCATCATGTAGTAAATCTGAATGAAAGTGACTGATATGTGTCACAGGAAGTGTTTATGTAACTTTCACATACTTGTATAGGCCTATAACATCAACGAATTTTGGCTCACAGAGAAAACGTAATAATGGGTTAAGATTTTATAATTTAAGAACTGATGTTTTTTCTCTACACATAATCTAGTGGCTGCAGGTTACAGGGGGTGCAGGCTAAAACGGCACCCCAGCAAAACGTCACCGATTTCTCTGGCGAAAACGGCACCGCATTTGGCGAAAACGGCTACTATGTGTCGGGCAAAACGGCACCTCTATTTTAAATAAGGATAAGAACGATTTTTGTAGTAATATATATGGTTTATTTACATGGTCACAGTTATCACAGCATGTTGTTGTTTTCTGACATTCTTCTCTCATGCAACACATCGAAAGGCCATTGTGAATAATTGTGATCTGACAGCACCATGTTAGGCCTCTTAAATACAGTTTCAGTTTAAATTGAGTAAAGGTACTTAAAACTTCAAAGCTTATAGTGTTTTCACATGAAGTTAACTGCGCCTCCCAATCAGTCGGCGTGTAAATTGGATTAGGGGTTTAATTTCTTACTTGTTTTATTTCACAATTTCACAATTATTTGTGTTTGTAAGAGACGACTTGAGTTTAATTTCTATTATTTTTCTTCAAAGCATGTCATGTTTTCACAATAAGTTGTGTTGCGTATAAGCTAAGTTGGATTATAGTTGGAGTAGAGGCTAATTTCTAATGTACACTTGTTTTAGCATCTCACAATTATTGGTGTTTGCAAGTTACCATATAAGTTTAATAGCACTAATTTGACCAAGGTAAAAGAAAAAATAAGGTGCCGTTTTTGCTAGGCCACAGTAGCCGTTTTCGCTCGAGTCGAGGTGCCGTTTTCGCCAATCGGTGCCGTTTTCGCCCGGTGACGTTTTGCCGAGGTGCCGTTTTCGCTATAACCCGTTACAGGTAGTAATAGTAATTTTCAAGAATATGTATCAGTTGAATACAATGACTTCTAGTAGATCTACTGTCCTTTGTTGTTTTGGGTAATTGAATAGAAGGAAAGACGGCAATTGTGATAATTTTTCTGGCAGAATTTGAGCTAGCAGTGTCATTGACAGATTCACATTAGAGTAGAGTATCTGTTGGCCTAGCCCAAATGTTTTTTACAATACGCTGCTGCCCATTAAACAAGTTTTGAGACCTTAAATGGCGTGTGTTAAGGGAGTCATGATCACTGTAACTTTATTAACCAAAATTGTTAAAGATGTCTGCAACTGCGAGTATGATTTTTGTATATATTGACAGTCATCTAACAACATATTTCAAGTCAACATGTCACTGATGTGAAGTGACTGAGCTGAGAAACCACTGACTTGATGTCAAATATTATGATGTAATATGCCAAACAAAAAGTGAATTTATTCCAATTTTACGATGGTTAGCATAGGGTAGTGCCATAACATTCTTTCAACTATGACATCACTGTATTGTAACAGGTATTGCAGACTTGAAATAAATATCCCCCAGACCACAGGACTGGCTAGTTAAGAATATTACCAGTCCTATTCAAAAGTTGCCAGTACCTATGAAGATGCGGGTAAGAATAGGTCTTCAGCAACCCATGTCAGATACTTCCAACTTGAATTAGGGTTGCTTAGTTTTGTTCAAAATAAACATCATAGAGATATGTATTACTAAGTCAGTTACTAAGTGGCAGAGAACGACCATCCACCATTGTGCCACAGGATGGGTTAACTTTCTACTTGAAATTTTACCCTTCTTCGTGGAATTAACCTGTCATGGATGGGGAGACTGACTATTTTTTGCAACTCTGATTGTTACCTTGTTTTGTGACATAATAGTAAGTACTGTATCAGTGTATGACATTGTCAGTGGAATATCACCATGTGTTAGAAATTGAGGGAAATACATTTTGGTCCACTAGTCCTTATAATGATAACATAGCAAAACCCTTATAAATGGCAAATTTCTACTAGTCTATGATACCCTAACTATTGGGCAGTTTGGGCAAGGACTACGGGACGAGTGCCAATTTCAAACGCTGCATACTGGTATCATAAACATGATACAAGAGTCATCAGAAGGTGACAAATCTCTTACCCCCCCCCCCCCCCCCTCGCACATGCACACACATGCACATGCACATTGATGAGAGAATATCTATCTTATCTGTCTGTCCGTATATACAAGAGCAGTTATTGAGCTATCAAAACTATACCATGGAATTTGGGATTCAGAACTTTGTATTTCTATGTCAGTTAAGGCTGCTAAAAAGATCAATAATCAGAATAATCGTTGATCATGTTGATGTGAAGAAATATTAACGATTATCGATATGAAACTTGTGTCATCGATAATATCTTACATAATCTATTGTGATGAAGTAAAGTTTTTATTTACCAAAGCAGACTTGTTTTGTCCACGGCCAAAGATGGAAAATGTCCAGAAAGTAATCCATGCATAAATGTGTCACCACTCAATAGTGACTTGAAATATGTTGTTTTGTCTCTGAACTTTTTATCATATTTGCTCAAAGTTACTTCTCCTATATTTATCAATAATTGGTCGATATTTAGTTAACGATTATCGATCACTAAGATTGATATCAATAGCCAGCCCTAATATCAGACACATTCTACAATGAACAGAGTCAAAATGAAACTTGTTGCCATGGACACAGAAAATATATTAATTCTAAACACCCCTAAGTATCAAAAGGTACCAGTTGACAACCTGGTCTTTGTGTGAGCACAGTTTGAAGAAAGGGTTTTGCTATAATATATTATTATGAGGACCATTGCACAAAAAATGTTAGTTTCTACCGCTGGTATGTAAGTTTGACAGATAGTGTGACACATCCCAGAATTTTCCTTGGTTGTCATTGTGACAATGCTTTTGGTTTGAATTGAAGTCAACATTGTCAACAATAGTAAACAGAGGAATTTCAATTGCAGACAAATGGCCGAAGACATGGAGTGGACTCCCCAGCACAGCTGGAACTACAGCCAGTATAGCCATAATCAAGAACAGCAAACTTTACATTGGACACGTTGGAGACTCGGGTATTGTGCTAGGACTTGACAAGGGACCTCCAAGTGCAGTTTTCATGGATGCCAAGTGCCTTACAAAGGTACCTGTACATCCTTATTGTCCTGGGCCTTGTTCCACAAAGCGATCTTTGCGCTAAGATGATCGTAACTCGTAATTACAGGAACTTTATTTTTCTTGTCAAGAAGTTTTGGTACAATGAATATTTGGTACAATACATATTATTTCTGCGTCCATTTGTCTGTACATTTGTGAGTACTGGAAGCAAATTTCCACGTCATTTAAAACCCTGTAACTCCCGTACAATAACATAGACTTAAGATAATTGTAACTCTAAGATCGCTTTTGGAACAGGGCCCAGCCCCAGGTACTGTTATCAACTGTTAGTCAGTGCTCTCCAGTCACTACCAGCAGCCTGTTGCAGGAATTGTTAATGACTTTGTTTGTGTTGTGTAGGAACACAAGCCTGACAGCCCGGAGGAGAAGTCTAGGATAGAAAACTGTGGAGGGGCGGTGGTGGCCAAGTCAGGTGTGCAGAGGGTGGTATGGAGTCGGCCAAAGGTGCACCACAAGGGGCCCATCAGGCGCAGCACACAGATTGATAAAATACCATTTCTTGCAGTTGCCAGATCTTTAGGTATGTTATTCTGTTCCTCTTGGAAATAGTTCAAAGTTACAGGAAATACCAAACACAACGATTAAGGTACACTATATACAGGTGTTGTTTATTTCACTGTTTCGACATTTGTCATGCAAACATCAAAGGACAATTCTTACCACAGTGTATTTGTTTCTGGCGTGATGTCTGACAGATGACTATTGTTGCATGTTGCCAGGTGACCTGTGGAGCTATGACTACTTCAGTGAGAAGTTTGTGGTGTCCCCCGAGCCAGATGTGGCGGTTCACAAGTTGGACCCCCAGCGACACAAGTGTCTTGTCCTGGCTTCTGATGGCCTCTGGAACATGCTCAAGGCGGAGGAAAGTGTGGCCATTGTTTCCGAGCTGGAGATGCACTTTGAAGACAGAGTTGTCAATGATGAGGTGTGTAAGATGAATAATGCTTTATGGACATCAGTGACCTGCAGTGACTCTTCAGTATATAACAGCAAGGACACTTACTGTCTGTGAGTTGGCTGATTGTCTGTGTCATCCTGCCCATGTGGCATGGACTGATGCTCAACCTACCCACCACTGCTTTGTCTGGGCAAGATAATTTGCATCTGCCTCTGGTCTGGTTCAATAGGCTGAAGCACTTTCAAAGCACTATCTAAGCTACCCGCGGACGTTCGGGTGCTATCAAACGATGTGTAAACCTCTGCCGGCAGAGAGTGGGTTTTCAAAATGGCTTTGCAGACTGATTTTAATATAATATTGCTGAATATTGAGTATGTAAAGTGTTAATGTTTATAATAAAAATATGATAAATTTACTGTTTATTAGACAATCACCAATCAGACAGCAAAACTCGATTAAATGGCATTATCGTGATATAAGTCGGACCCAACTCATGTAATCCTACCAACTTATTTAATATTGGAGAATAAAAATATAGACTTGCATAAGTATTTGCAACAATATTGGGGTAAATAAAAACTTTGGCTCCTGGCATAATGTTGAAATTACCTCCAAAGGGTTGAGAATAATTCATTTGGGACAGTTATTTCCTCGTATCCTGTCGGTTATTTTGTCAGTAGTTGGTCAGTTTAGTGTGTAGTTATGTTGGGGTGTGTTTGTTTGTTTAGTCAACGCTTGGGGATTCTTGGTTATGATTATTGGCCCAAAGTAATTTATGCATGTTTACGATTAAACTAAATTGATCAGTGTCTGGGACGATTGTATGTCATTGTACCCAGAAGGCATGACACGTAGTTGATATTAACCACTGGTTAAATTGTCAGGGCAAAAAGAAAAATAGACTACATGTATTTACAGGCTGCTTGGATATTGCTGGAATATTGTAGACTGCTGTAAAAAAAACAAAAAGACAAACAAATCGCAATGTTTTAGATTTAATTAAGAAAAGACAAACACATGAAAATGTATGAATTTACAATCTTTTGAGTTTCTACAGATGAAGGTTTATATCACATAATTATGTATGTCAAATGTTTACAAAAGGAAATAAGGCTAAAAGAAAAAATAATCTTGGTTCTCAGGCACCGCTGCATCATCATAAAGTCCGCCGCATGTTTCGTTTTTATTTCCATTTAAAAAAAAAAATCCTTACATGTTCCGCGTCTCGATCACACAACTTCAATTGTGAAATGCTACAATACTTAAAAACAATGCGACCCAATATAACGTGCAGTTACTTCCCTTTTCATGCGCACTGCTTTACTGCGCATCTCGTGTGTTATGGTCATGGGGGCAATAGGAGTTTGTGTGCTTGCTTTGCTGTTTGTAAATTTGGTCAATGAAAACATTAAATTTGCAATACACCATCACTAGACATGATGATGGTATTCAAATACAATTTCAATGGTATTTGTGTACTGTATGAGGGACAATGTTTCATGTGCAGAGGTTATTTGTCTCGTAAAATAAGCGGGTAATCGATGCTACTTTATATGGCCCTGGCTATAAAGTGAATCGAAATAAAGCACATCACTAGTGCATGCACAATCTCTACATTTGCAATAAAAATGTGTTTGTCTTCCGCAGAAATTTTTTTTACATCATAGCCCTTCAGCGAATTCAGGGAAACAGAACAGATTATATCAATTAAACTTGGTCAATACAAATTTGAGATAAAACATCACTAAACATAATGATTAGCCGATTAAATTGTATTTCCTGTTCTGATTGGCATTGTTTTATATGCAGAGATTAAGATTACCGTGTGTCTTGTCTCGTAAACTAAGCCGGAAGTAGCTTTCAGCTGTATACACTTTTCTCGGAATCTACCGGTGATTCGGCCAATAATATAACTTTAAAGAATTTTGATACAATGAGCGGAAGAATTGTATCTGAAACTATTATTTTGTCAGGAATAATTTATTCCAATATCATGTGTAGTTGCAGCTTTACTATATATGTGTGAAATAAATTAATAACCATAAGCGTAGCACTTTCGTTCAGCTGATCGCCATTGCCGGAAATGTTTTCGAATGGAAGAATTTGACCAATCACCGTCCATGGGCCCACGATTGCAAAAACTTATTGTTGACATATAACAGTCAAACTACAACAAGTATGGCTTTCAGCGATTCAATGTATGTCATTTATGATATATATATATATCCATTCTCTATCCACTAAAATTTGTTTCAAGGCGTCAATAGTGGTAATATGACCGTGGTTACTGTAAACAACGGTGAGTTGTGAGATCTTCCGATCACTTCACATACAATTTTGCCTAAATGAATTGAAACAATATTGAATGAAATGTTGAATAAAATTAATAAAATAGATTACCAACATAAGTCCAGATATATTATGAACGCTTTCTACAACCAGACAGTGTAATTACATGATTAATTTGAGTATTTCGGTATGGATTTGTTGACATGGTATTTCCAGTGTTCCATGCCCACAGTAATGTCTTTGTGTTGCGGAAAAAAAACCATAAATACTCAACCCTGTGTACAAGATGACACCCCCCCCCCCCCCCCCCCACACACACACACACACATAATCCTCCTAATTCTAGTTATGAAAAACTCGCCTTATACACAGCGATATACAGATTTGGATTTTTACTAGTGTGTACACCCCCCCCCCCAAAAAAAAGGGCCGCCCGCACAACATTTTCAGCCTAATATGAGTTATCGGGTCAAAACTGCAACTTTATACCAAATTTTGTAATATCTTGTTCATAAATAGACGCTTGAAAAGGATTTTTTCTGTTCTGAAATTAACCTGGGCTGTTTGGAAAAATATCCCGTGTTGCGCATCCATATAGTCCAGTTTCCACCCTTCCCGAACAAGGCTGAAATTTTTAGGCTCGATGGTAGGGCCACCAGTGACTATGACGAGTTATGCCCCTTCTATGTCCCTCCAACTGACCAATCAGATTCGACCTCTTGAATTTGCTTCAAACAATAATGGTGGTGTCCTGTCAAGACAATCTAATCGATAATCAAGATCTATGTTGTAATAAAACGGGACCTGCCTTGCTTAGTGCATCAAATCACTTGAGCACCTTGATTAAAATCATGAAAAGATTTGAAAATATCTGTTGACGCCCAGTTGGCGGTACACATGCTTTGCGAATCCTGCATCCGACCAAAATCTGTGCATTGAAATCCATGTTGTTCGCAAACCAGTTGTCTAGTTCATCACATGATTTTGATTGGACTATGCATAGACTCGTTAGTACAGCCAAACTGTAACTAGACTGGACTGGACTCCATGTCGAAAAAGTAATGTTCACAGGCCCTGCATTTGTCCAAGTCCGCCATCTTTCTCCCTCGGCATGCTTCCTCTGCAGTATGCGCAGAGGCGCTTGAAAGCACTCACAGCAGGCGTTTCGTTCCTTTGGAAATATTCAGAGGCGCTTGCCGGCGCATTGGCACCCATGGTTATATTGAATGTGCCACTGATTTGTGTTTTGACATGTTTAATGATATGGTTTTGTTATGTTACCATGAAACACATTGCGCTTGTTTTTCATGATATATTTGATGACAAGTACACATACTTGAAAATTTTTGCTTAAATAAAGTTACCTCCCTTTGACCACTTATCAGACAGATTTAGGACAATATTGAGTATCGGAAATCAATCATTTGAGATAATGTGAGATGAAGTTTTGTGGAGCTTTGTTACCTGTACATGTGACAGTACTAATTTGAATTTGGAATTGAATTAAGTTTCAAATGTAAAACTAACTTTCCAGTTGGATATCTGATAAATATACCCTGTCAAAGTTGAATATTTGTGTATGTTTTCACCAAAGTCTATTGTCACACATCTTTTATAACAAATGTTTTCCGTCATATTTTTATTTTTCAATGTTTGATTTTCATTAGTACTGGTGTAATACACTTCTGATAATCCGATAAATATGCAGATGAGGTCACCTTGCAGGAACTCTTTTAATAAGACCCATACAGTGATGCAGTGTCTCTTGCTCAATACAAGTTGGTGTTCCTGGAAACAATTCTGGCTACAAAGCATTTGACCCAATGATGAATTGGGAGTTTCATTCCAGCTTTATCATTCTGTGTTTTCTAAAGTTATTTCAGTGAGTGAAATGGTGTCTAAGACGTTGATTGTTTTAAGAATGGCATGTGATAAAGACCTTTGTATGTTTTCCCTAGTGAATGTAAGGGTAACACTATTTTTCAGGGCATTATCATTTGCAGAAGCCCATTAACTGCCCGACGAAGGAGGGCAGTTGAAAAGACAGATCGCTTCTGCAAATGACAATGCCCTGAAAAATAGCGTTACCGTTATTATAGCTAAAATGGATAGAATTCGTTATCAAATACAAATAAACGATATCGGTTTTGAAACATTAAGTGCAATCAACACGAATTTCACTAACCCACTTTTACAAATATGGAAACGTCATAGAACAAACCAGATGACGTCACTATTGAACGTGACGTCACCTTTCCCTATCCCTATGACGTCACCTAACAACGAGCGTGATAATGGCCCGTCGTCAAACAATATGAGGACATTATCAAGTTACAGCGGCCCGCTCATTTCTGATGAATGCGGGCGATTTAATGATAATTCTATCCATTTTAGCTGAAATAAGATTATAAAACTACGCATATATCTAATATGAAACATTGACGTAAATCATTACAACCGCACACTTTGTGGCTGTTTATTCTTCAGTCATAAAAAAACATTGTCAAGCAATATGAGAGCATTATCAAGTTACAGTGGCCCACTCACTTCTGATAACATGCGGTTCAATGATAATGCTATCCATTTTAGCTATAAATGTCATATATATATTAGAATAAAAAAAGTATATGTGTCATGCTTGCAAAAATAGAGGCTCTCATTATATATTTTTTATCCCCAATCTATCATATGTATGATACACAAAAACACAAGGGTCATTATCTCTAATGCTACAAGCATAATGTTACAGACGGCACAGACCACAGACATTGCTCTAGTGCCACAGAGGAGTGGGCGCTGCACTCGGGCATTGGTCAGTGGTACTGCTACCAGTATTAGGACTACTGATTTGCATGATGTTGATGCGATGTCTTTGATTTGTTTACAGACAGTTCCTCTAAGCTACTGGGTGAATCCTGCTGAGCGTCTGGTTACCAGGGCCCTCAATAAGTGGCGAGCACGGATGATGAAGGCAGACAATACAAGTGCAATTGTTGTCCTTATTGATCCCCTAGGGCCGAGCAAACTAAGTATACTCAAGAAGAGGAGAGAGGAGGCCATTAAGGCCAAGTCCAGCACAGGGCCAATTACTGCTGATGGCCACAAGGATGACCAGGACATGTGTGCTTCAGAGAAGTCACTCAACCCAGAAAATGCTGTTGCTGCTGCTTCTGAGCCACCAAGTACACCTCAGCAAGGTGCTTCTCCTCTACCTACCACACCCAAAAGTGCCCCAGCTAAACTTAGTACAAGACTGCTGAATGCTGGAAGAGAGAGCGACAAGGAGGCAGACAAGAAGAAGAGGGAGTCACTGTGTGAAAAGAATGCCCAGAAATTAACTCTACCCCATTTGCAGTCTGATGTATTAGATGATAGTGTTCAGTTACTCTCTTCTCTGAAGACGGCTCCCTCAGCGTCTGCTGTGCCATCTGACTCGTGTGCATCGTCCAAACTTCCATCTCTATCTTCTAATGGCTTTACCTCTATTAAGGATTCCAACACTTTACCTCACTGTGAGCCAAGTACCCACAAACTTGGTCCTTGGCCATGTTCCAATTCCCCTGACATGCATCCAGTTGACAGCTCTGATGCATGGACAACAAAGAGTCGATCCGAGAATGTAAGGACTCGAAGTATGTCTGGGGGCAACACACCAGCCCCAGGAGTGCTTTGTCAGCAGAAAGCTCAGGGTAATAACGACAAGAATAAAGCCCATTCAGCTGGGTGTGACGGGGTTCTGAAGCCAACCAGACTGTCTGGAGCTGGGAAAGTGCTGCGACACCAGGAGGAAAATCACTTGCTCAGGGATGCTAAGGGTAAAAAGGGGAAGAGGAGGCATCAGGACTTTGTTGTGTCCAAGTTGGAGGATGTGAACAAAAATAACTCGAATGATATGAGCCACTATTGTACAAAACAGAAAAACAAGCATTCCAAGGGAATTGTCAGAAAAACAAGAAGGACTTTGCGACAAGCTAAAGATGCTGCTAAACGTGCTATGTGCCTTGAGAACAGTCTCTTCCTTGGGGGTAAATGCTTGAGAAACCAGAACAGTAGCAAGCGGAAAAATGAAGATTCTCTCAATGGACCTGTTGCAAAACGACTTAGGCGATCTGATTCAAAGACGTTTCCCTTATAGTCTGTAGCAGAACACTCGAGTACACCTCTAGTATATATACTATTTATGGTGCTATGGTATAGCTACTTCATGATTCTTTGTAAGACAGGGGACTTAACCTCATTTTGACAACTTAAGTTCAAACCTCATTTGGGGGCAAAATAAGGAAACAGAGTTGGTTCTATGTACATTTATTTACCTTTGTTTCACTTCCTTCTCTTAAGATAAACTTTTAGCAGGTAAAAATCTAGTGAAAACGTTTCAGCAACTCATTGTTTTTGGCGCAGACTGCTCAGTGGTGTTCAAAACATACCTGAAAATGCATCCAATCTGGAGATGGACAATTGTTTAGCAATGGAAAAATATCTGCAATTGTATGGTGTATATCTGTGTCCAGTCAGTGGGTATGCAGAAAGTTTAGTGTTGCAATGACAGTTGGGAACAAGGTAATAGTATTAAAAATGGTATGTACAGATTGATTCAACTCCAAAGGTGGAGTCGTCAAAATACACCATCGCCAGTTGTTCAGCAAAGTGAGATAAGCCAGTTTGACACTGACCAATAAACATTTGGTGAAAGGACTTCAAATTGGCTTAACTTATGCAGCTGTGGTCTTTCCAGAACTAGGAGTATTATTATGGTCCATATACAGTCCATGACGGAGATATAATGAACTTCTGTTTTGGCCTTGAGGTTAACATAAGGCTTTCTTTGTTTATCATTAGACATGGCAGCAGACTAGGCAGCATATACCAGGAGATATAATTACATGTATAATAAATATGTATGGGATGAAATAATCGAGAATTCATCTAGCTAATGAAACTGTACAACAATTAGTCCCACAGTTTTCCTAATCCTGTAAGGGGACATCTCCATTGATACACACATCCTTAGCAGTCTGTGGACGAAACATTTGCACTTGTCCTTTACTAGTACATGTACACGTCATAGTCTATTGAGATCTAATTTTACAAGATAAAAAGATCTTTTACACCGGATTAATACTTTCGACTGGTGGCTGTAATCACAGATTTGTAATCTGAAATATCTTATGTTTTTCAATTTCTATGTTTTACATTGTGCAGCAGACCTTTGCCACTGAGACAGACGCCAATGTGTTCCTGAAATGTTAACAGTTCTGTCATGTCCAAGCTTGTTGAAGTACTTCAACTTTCTACTCAGGGAATATGTGTTGTCCAAGTGTAGTGCATACTTCTAATCACAGATGTTGTTCAGCTTGTGTTACAACAGGGGATATTGAGGCAGCAGACTATTACCACATAGTTAGCAGCTGATTGACCTTCATTGGACTCAGCTATTTTTGTCCAAGTTGGACAGCTATTTATCATATACAGTTGATATTAAGAGAGCAGAGCAATCTGGATGACAAAATTACTTTCAAACAAACCCAACATGCTCTTTTTAATAATTTTAATTGAATGTTATCACTAATTCATAAACTCATCAATACAAGATACTATAAGCTTTATTCTGTATCAATGTGTATGGTATCACATATTGCAGTTATCATCAGCGCATCTCATGGTTCCCAAACCTGACCCTGATCCATACAGCATTTGTAGTGCTAAGACTATTGGACTCTAGGTTAACAATAGATGTGTGATTGTCGTGGTGCTTCGATGATTGGATCTGTATAGGTTAACATAGATGTATACTTGTCATAGTGCAACGACAAGTATAGGTTAACATGAACGTACGATTGTCGTGGTGCTACGACCATTGGATCTCTATGGGTTAATGTAGACGTATGATGATCGTGGTGCTACGACCATTGGATCTGTTTAGGTTAACATAGACGTATGATTGTCATGGCCCAATAACTTCAGGATCTCTACAGGTTAACATTGACATATTGTTTGTCCTAATGCAATGTGAATCGAGACCCTGATCAACATTTTAGTTGTTTTCATATGAAGTTCATCACTCACTCTGATTGTGATGTTGTCTCAAAATAACATTGACATTTTGACATGGAATGTGTTTTTCATATCCTTTGTTGTATCAGTTTTGGGCTATTTTGTTCTAAACAGTGAATCCTGCCTTTTTGGTGTATTGTTCTGACCTAGACTTTCAGCTGATACATGTGCTGGAGCCTGTTTTTCTTTGTACTGCTATACGAATAGACAGTATTTCTAGTAGAAGGGGGAATAGAATATTTTGTGAGAACTTGACATGTTAAGACAAATGATGAAGAAGCAGGCAATAATCTACAACAAAGCATCTAACCTCATTGAAATAACTCCCATCATTGAAAGTCAAGGAAATCATTCCACCATGCTTTGAAATACAGGGTGTGCAACACTCCAGCAATGGCATCCTTGCCAGGGCTTAGTTTCAGGGGTTTTGTATGACATTTCAGTCCTATGACAGATTCCCAACCCAGGCTGGTCTGAGCACTGCCATAATTGTATATACTACCCAAACTATTTTAATCTATATTTGAGGCAGCACATGAACTTTTAATCAAGATTTTGTACATTTTGCTATGTCAGTTTGTAGAAAGTTCTTATGTTGTATATATTATTATCAAATTATGAAATAAAACAAACTAAATTATGATGTGCAAGTCTTATGTGGTAAATGTGAAGATTGAAGGTAGTGGTTTTCTAAAGAAAATTTGAAATAATGGAATACAAACGATTATTATGGCCTTATGATGGTTTAGTATTTCCATAATTAAAATATTTAATGGTTTCCGAGTTCTTTTCTGGAAATGAATGCTACATGTATTTGAATCTTTAGTCTGGTTTGTTGCCAAAACACCAAATATATTATTTTACTTAGTGCATAGTGTATGCAATGGGGACAGGCTTTCTTAGAAACTACTGAAGTTACATGAATGAAACTTTGCAAGATTATATAAGAGATTCTTGTCAAGACTGAATTGAAAATTGGTGCCATAAATTATTGTTTCGAGAGAAGTGGCCTTTTGTGAATAAATTCATATTTAATCAGACTTTCTCATGACACTGCCACCTTAGTGCCTATCTGTTATTAAGGATTTATAGGACTCTTTCTATTTTAAGTTATTATTTGAAATTCTACCAGGATACATTTAACATTATTAAAACTGGATTGGGCTAGTGCTTACTTCTATCCCTCCTATGAAGAAACAGAAGTCTAATGTGCCCCATGGCAGGGTATAGTATACGTTCAATGTTTTCTTGTTTACGTAGCTTTATGTTAATTTGATGTTTAAGATTTACTCTTACTATTTGATGTGAATAGAACATACTTCAGGTGTGATATTTTGGCAAGTTTAACAATACCTTTTGGCAATATGTGTTGATCGCAGTGTAATACAGATGGAATTTGTTTGCAGTAGCTGATAAGTTACAAAAGGAAAATTTAAGTTTTACAATAAGTTGTATATTTATATACTTATCCTATCTCACACTATGCATTTCTCATTCTTCTTTCGTGGAAATGTGTCTGAGAAAAGGTTTCCAGCTTCTGAAGTTAATTCACCTGTACATACCTCACATGGCAATAGTCACCTCCAAGATCTGGGTCATGCACGCTTTGCATGCTGGTTGACCTACATGCTCTGATCACATGTTTATCCCAGCCAACCCTTTCTCTTTCAAGAGTGTATAGACTAAGGAATCGTGATGCTGGGATGGACGGGTGGGCATATGACGTTTGAAATAGGATAAGTATATAAATATACAATTAATTGTAAATTTTCCAATATTTTAATCTTTTCAATGCAATCTCACACTATGCATTTATCCCACGGTGGGGCACAGCTCCCTAGTCTATAAAGATAACAACCGTAGGATATTTACGAGGAAGCTGCCGCTTAACAGCGGTACAATACCTAATAAAGTAACAAAGTTTAGTGCCGTAAGACAAAAACTCATACATAGGAATAAAAAAACATTCTCAAAGAGTGTTAAGATCCTGATACTTGAACAGAGGAAAACGCAAGAAGTTGTGTACAATATTTGTAACATGTTCATACGTAAACAAGTGTAATCGTATGTCCAAGCCAAACGAATACGACTTATATTCGAGAAGGGATTTATCCGTTTGTCGAATCTACAAGACAGGGTTATCACTATCTCTTAAAGATGATAGGATCAGCCACTTGGCTTATCGGTGATTGAATCGATGGCTTAAGATGAGAAGAGGATACGATCGACAATATGCACAAAATGATCATCAATCCGCTACCCAGCACACATACCCAAGGTAGATGTTGATGTGAGACTAGCTTTCTTCAAGAGACCACCACCCTGCTATTATAGTTCTTGACAAGGAGCTCCCCAACCCAGGGTTGAGGCGTTGACAAGGACGTGAAGGGTCGTGGCTGATTAGCTGCAAGGACACTCCTTCACAGACATTTGATGTGGATGTAGTTGGTTCAGGAGAGAGATTAGAACCTGAAAATTGTCGTCCTGATGAGCGTGAGGATTGGACGAAGGTGAAGTTGACCTCTCTTGGTGAGAACTTGTGCTGATGTCAATAGGCAGAGAAGTTGTTGCTATTGGCATAAGGAAAGTGGCTGTTAGTGCCAGACCGCCTCCGTGGTCTAGTGGTAGAGCGTCCGCCCGGAGAGCGGAAGGTCCGGGGTTCGATCACCGGCCGCGTCATACCAAAAGACGTTAAAATATGGTACTTGTTGTAACCCTGTATGGCGCTCGGCATTAAGGGGCTAAAACAAGGACTGGTCGGCTCGGAGTCAGTATACTGTGTCTGAGTGGGGTATTCATGTTAAACTGCGGCATGGTATCTCAGTGAGCTAGCACTATAAATCGGCATCAGTCCGGACTAGTACAAGCAGCCACACACACACACACACACACACACACGTGCATGCACGTCGCTATATAAGTGCAATAATCTTGGACGCGACGTTAAACCCCATTTCACCACACCTCACCTGTTAGTGTCAATGGAACAAGGCACTGAATTTTCTCCCAACAATCCTGGGGTACGAACATTTGAAAGCGATGCCTCGTGTTGAAGAGGGCTCCAATGAACTGTGGACTTGTGTTGGCATTGTTTCAGACTTCTTGGTGTTGATGATCGGCTTGAATTCACTTGTCGATGTAATATTTGTAATCGATGCCTTGAATGTGTTGGAATTTGATGATGGGTTTTGTGAGGCATGTAAATACTAGTAACCACAGGGATGAATAAATTCCAATTGGGAACACACATTGGTAGTGTTGGCCTAGGACAGGGATGTGTAAATATGTGTCTTTTTGATCTAGACTGATCATGAAGTCACCAGGATGAAGGCCACTATGCTTGTCGTAAGAGGCGACCAACGGGATTGAGTGGTCAGGCTCGCTGACTGTTGAAGTATGTCATAGATCCCAATTGCATGGATCGATGCTCATGATATCAATCACTGGAAACTTGATTATTTACAGACTGTCGTCATATTGCTGGAATATTGCTGAGTGCGGCGTAAAACAACAAACCAACCAACCTGGATGAAGAATCGTTCTTAGTAGATCCATATATGTTATATGAAAGTGTGGAGGAGTCTCTAGGTACAGTTTGTTGAAAGTTTTCATGTTGAAAATGAGATGAAGTTGAGGCCTGTCTTTCTTTGGGACCAGAAATATTAGGGAACAGAGAACCCTGGTGTCATCAGCCATGTGTCCAGACACTCTATGATGTTCTTTACAAGCATCATGCTTATGGAGTCTTTAAGGAATGGAACCTGCTTCTCTGTCTATAGATGTTGACGAGGTTTGTACGTTGTTAGGGGCGTCGTCATGATGGGTAGAGCATACCCTGTATGTAGAAGACGAAACACATATGTCGTCTAGAATGGTCCAATTCATAGCAAAGATTTACCTCCTCAATGACTTTGCCATCTCCGACCGTGGCCACGAGATGGAGTGAAGGTCGGTCGCTTACAATCTTATCTCTGTTCCTCTAGTTGGTTCCACTGAAGTAAGTCAACCGTGACTTGAAAAGAAGTGTCCCTCAGGACTTCATGTGCAACCTCGTGGATGCATCCCGCGCAAAGGGAGGGTGTAGACCATGGTAGCTGCAAATCACCACATCTGCAGAGATTGGTCCTGTGTGTTGATCCTGAAGATCTAAGACACCTGCCGTCATATCTTGAATAAGGGTCACAGCACCCCGGATGCAGGATTCTTCTGGAGAAAAGGCATGAACCAAAGCCGAAGAAAGTACCCAGTCACTGATAGAATGGTAGAAATCAAAGGAAGCGTCCTCCAAACTGTATTGTCGAGGTACACAAGATCCCTATCGTCCACCAAAGAGCAGGAGAAAGGACACTAAGGTCGCAATGTCCCCGTCCAGCTCGGGAGCAACCATTGCTAAGCCATGTGTTCCTACGTCAGCCAAGAAGTGAAGGTTTCATCAAAGTTGGTGACCATGTCCAGTGATCCAATGACTCTAGTTCTGGTGGTGAGTCCAAAGAAGATGTAGTAGCTGTTAACGCGGAAGGAAATACAGAGATTGGTACGGTGGTTGTCGAGTGAGGAAGGTACAGTCCCGTTAATCTGACATTATTGGTTGCATATGATTATGTCTGATTAACGAGTATGTCGGATAAATGAAATTAGGTACTATCAACGTTCGTGATAAAAAATTGGACAACTACACGATAGATAACGATTCAAACATGTTGTAATAAAAAATGGAAAAAGGAAATATTCATATTGTTGTGTTACATTGTTAGCGGAATATGTTTTCTAATCATGCAACCTCTAAAGTTTAACACAAACCACTGTTATGGACTGTATAGTCTGGAATGGACGTCTCCAATTTGAAACTAGTGCCGCAATGCTTAAGAAAGTTGCTTTCTTAGTGGCTATGTCGACTTCCTGTTAGTAATTTCATTGGTCGGTCAAAGTTCGCAAAAGATCGTTCTGACGTTACCTTTAATGGGAATGTTCTCAGCGGTAGTTAGAACTTGTATCCGATCTCAATGAGATTGAGGTAATCTAGGCATGCGATTAATCCTGTTTTGTTCATTTAAAGCAGTAATTGTTTATTGTTAAGCAAGTTTATCTCTGCAGATAAATATGCAGCTACTTGCCGACTCATCTCGCATCAAAACACGGGGCTGTGTACTTGCGGGCAGATGACCATGGAGTACAATGATCACTGTGTCGGATTAAGGAGACTGATTAATGAGTGATTTCAGCAATTCGTTTCAAATAAGGTGTGTCAGAGTCGGAGTGCGAGACTGTCAGATTAACGGGTCTAAATAGCACTGATTTAATCGGTTCTCATCACTTTTGTCGGATAAAGCCGATTGTCGAATTAACGAGTGTTGGATTAACGAGATTTGACTGTATGCCGCTGTTACCGCTTGTAACAAAGAGCAAATCTGTTGTACTGGTATGGAAGAGAGATCACCAGGATACCATGACATAGGGATAACTTGTGATAGAGCCTGTGATGTCGTCGGAACCTGTGGTTCAGTCACAGGAGAAGGGTGTTGAATGAAGAAGGCGAACTCAAACGACGAGTAGGTGAAGAAGAACGATGACTATCTTTAAGAGAAAGACATCTACTAACAGTAGCCGACAAATGTGGTTTATACGAGAGGAGGAAAAATGACCGAGAGGTTTGGTTGTCACAAAAAAACAGAGTCGTAAGAGTATTAATGCCATGGATGAATAGAGTCCATGTAGTTAACGTTCCCAATCATTTGCGCGAGTGTTGAAGAAGTGGGGTTCCCAGGATAATCCTGCCGTTGGTGTAAATCACAGGAGCGGGGACGGTCCTCTGGTTGAAAGTCTGGATGACTTGATGAAGAGGAACAAGTCAAATAAGATGAATGTCCAAGAGATTCATTGTAGTGTTCAACCTCCGAATCTAAGCATGAAGAATCCGAATAGTCTCTATGTGAAACATGATGAGTTGACAAACAATTTTCTGATGGTCTGCCATAGGTGACCGTCGATCTGTAGAGGTTCACTGAATCTTAGAAGAATGCAGGTCTTTAGAATATCACCGATCCTTGGAGATTCAAAGTGTGTCGATCTCTAAAGGTTCGTCTCACCTCAGACGTCTGAGGGTGGACGAACCTTCGAAGAGTGGTGACCCGGCGAGGGGTCTCTATGCTTCGAGGTGTGCAGAGAGTGGGAGGATCGTTTAGCGAACATCCAACTGAAGATCCTGATCTGGAGAACGCCAACCCTTTGATGGTGGGTAGAAAGAAGTGACTGTAGATGCTAGACGATCAGTTGAGTGCGAGATGTAGTATATTGATTCCCATCAGATGAATGATGGGTCTCGTTAAGCTGAGATGATATAAGATGGTCAGTTACACCAGCACCCTACAAAGTACTCATCAAACATCCGAGCCCATGGAAGCTGTTGAGGGTAGAGTTAACTTTGAAGCTAGGTTCGTAGATATAATACAGTTGACACGTCTTCAGTGAGAAAAGAGTCGGAGACTCCGTCGTCGTCCAATGAAAATATGGGACCAGCGGGGTTCGTTGTATCCTGGACCGTCTGAGAGGCGGATCGGTCCGATGATGTAGCCCTCTTCACGGGTGTCTTCTTAGACTTTGGCGTTTTTTACACATACTACACATGCCACAACAATCAGAGCACTCATAATGAGGGTCTGAAGGAGAGAAGACGCGCCTACACGTCAAACACATGGGGGCTGTTCGTCCATGATGAAAAAGCTATATCCAGACAAGGATATTGGTGAAGAGCTGGCAAGATAAAGATTGGCAGATAGACGAAGACTGGTGAAAAAACGGCAGTTGGCACCCAAGAGGAAAAAAACGCCTGCATGGCGAAAAGGCAAAGCAGTCGCAGGCAAGAAGATGTAGAAAGAGGCAAAGAAAACCCCCCCAAAGGATTCCTTGAAGACAAAACTGTGTGGCGATTTGAAAGAGAATGGGTTGGCTGGGATAGACACGTGATCAGAGCATGTAGGTCAACCAGCATACAAAGCGTGCATGACCCATATCTGTGAGGTGACCATGGCAATGTGAGTTACGTATGGGTGAATTACCTTTAGGAGCTGGAAACTTTGAGTGATGATGAAGCAGAGGCTTACATTTTGTCCCGGAAATAAAGTTATCTCATTTGCAAATATAGTCTTCAAAAAAAGAAACTTGACATAGATGTAAAACCACTTTTTGCCAAATATCTAAAATAATTACATTAAATGAGAACCAAATTAGTCAAACAGAAAGATGATGTGTCTATAATTCGCGAAAACACATGCAAAGCACATAAACGTAGCGTTTGGGGATCAATTTGACAGCTTCATCCAAACGCAACCGTCTGTAAAAAACGTGCAGCACAGGATCCTGCATTTAGGCATGCAGCCCCCCCTGCTGAATGGGTATAAAAACGGCTGTTCATACAGTCCTTATAACGGCAGTAGAGGCGGTGACAGAATGCCAAGACTGAATGCAGCTCAACGGAACAACGCCATGGGGAGATTACAAGCTGGAGCAACTCAGCAAGAAGTGGCCAGGCACTTTGGCGTATCCAGACAGACAATCTCCGCACTGTGGACCCGATACAACAACACCAACAGAGTTGACAACAGACCAAGGTCAGGAAGACCAAGGGTGACAACCCAAGCACAAGATCGATACATCCGGCTGTGACACCTCCGAGACCGCACTACCACAGCCACGTCTACAACCACACAAATCCCTGGTGTACGCAGAAAATCAGATCAAACGGTACGCAACAGACTGAGGGAGGCTGGACTTTTTGCACGAAGACCTGTTCGACGTCATGTATTGACCCCACGTCATCTGGCAGACCGTCTGCTTTGGTGCCAACAGAGGGTTAGATGGGCACGTGCAAGGTGGAGAAATGTACTGTTTACTGTCGAGTCCCGTTTCCTACTCACACGTGCTGATGGGCTCGCACGTGTCTACAGACGTCGGGGTGAACGTTACGCCCCCAACTGTGTGCAGCAGGTTGTCCTATTTGGCGGCGGGAGTGTCATGGTATGGGCCGGAATTCATCACGGTGGTAGGGCGCCTCTCGTGCATGTGGCAGGTGCATTGACAGGTGTGCGTTACAGAGACTTGATCCTACAGCCTTACGTTCTTCCTCACGTCAACGTTCATGGCGGACAGTTCCAGCAGGACAACGCCCGACCGCATATTGCACGTGTTTGTCAGGACTTCTTACAGCACAACAACATCCAGACATTACCTTGGCCAGCCCGGTCACCAAATTTGACCCCAATTGAGCATCTGTGGGACGAGTTGGATCAACGCGTTCGCAGAAGGAATCCACCGCCCCAAACACTTCCGGCGCTTCTCGATGCACTTCAGCATGAATGACAGCACATCCAACAGCGTTTTATTGACAACTTCTTTCCATCTATGGGTCGTCGGTGTCAAGCGGTGATTGATGCACGTGGTGGGCACAACCGATACTGACATTTTCTGTACCCCTGTGACATTAACTGTATCGTGTACGTGTGTCTGTCTAGGTGACACGATTAATGTTTGGAACATTGTGTACATTGATCTTCAAACAGTGTTTCAATTATGGTTTCTGTGTCCTATTTTGAAACAATTGCATTATATTACATTTTGAAAGCCAGTGTCAAGTTTCTTTTTTTAAAGAGTATATATATATCCATTTCGTTTCCGGAGCACAACTCAAAAAGCATTATATATCTTTCAACAAAACTTGGCAGATATATCAAACAGATCCTAAAGTGGTGCATTTTCCTATTTGCGGATTTTGGGCATTTTTCTTTTTCTTGATTGCCATGGAAACAATTTGGACTTAGTCTCAAAAGGGGGAGGGGTAGATGTCATTTCCGGAGCACAACTTGAATAACCGTGAAAGACTTTTCATCCAAACCTGGCATATGTATTAACCAAGGGCTGAAGTGGTGCCTTTTGCTATTTACGAATATTTCAAAATTTGATTTTTTTTCCCGTTTCCATGGAAAAAAGTTGGACTTGGAGGTAGGGTTTTTTTGCAGAGCAAACCAAAAAGTCTTTTTTCATCCAAACTTTGTACATATTACTAATTAAGGGCTTATGTGGTGCTTTTGCTATTTAGAAATTTTTGTAGAATTATCTTTTCCTGTTTCAAGTTTGACTTTGTTCATTGTGGTGTGTACGTCCGGACCATATCTCTAAAACTAATAGGTAAAAAAACCATGCACGCATGCAGCCACGCACGCACGCACAGAGAGAGAGAGAGAGTGCCTTTTGCTATTTCAGGATTTTTTCATGTTTCAATGGAAACAAGTGACAAATATTTTTCATTCAAACTTGGAACATGTATTAATCAAGGGCTGAATTGGTGCCTTTTGCTACTTAGGAATTTAGTGTTTCAATGGCAACAAGTTTGACTTTGACTCTGTTCATAGTCGTGTGTTTGTCTGGACCATATTTCTAAAACTAATAAGTATTCTTTCATGACACTTTGCACACACAAAGACCAGGTTGTCAAATGGTGCCTTTTGCTACTTAGGGGCATTACTATTGTATATAGACAGACAGATTAGATAGAAATTCTCACATCAAGTTTGATATAAAGTAACATTCAGATGATTTGTTCTTTTGAATTTGTGGTTACACAGCGGACTTGTCATCTTCTGGTGACTCTTGTTTAATATATTCTCTTGGGTCTGGTAGACAGACTCGCCCGTGTGATGAAATACATGTACTGCCAAACACAGACCCCAAGTGATGAAGTCAAAACTGGCATTGTCTACGCCAGTGCCTAATCATGCTCTCTGCTCTTGCAAGAGGCAAATCAAAGGTAACTGTGTGATTTTGGATGAATGGTTCTTGTCCTGTGTTGACACATCACAAATCTACACAGGGAATCTCTCAGTATTTGTCAACGAGATTGGTAGTCCCCATCCAGGCTCAGCTGAAGTCAGTTGTCCCAGCGAACGGGATAAACCCTACAGGCTATCACAGTTCACCTGTCTTGTATGAGTGACAAAACAAAATCACATACAGTGCATCAAAAGCCTGACACGCCTTCTGGATATACCAGTAAATGTAAAACAAAAAACATCCGGAACAGAATTTGCATTTATTCTTTACTAATAAGACTGGCCCATAAAAAAAATTATGTGCCAAAGAAAACAGAAAAAACCCAGTGCTGCTGTATCAGCTTGTCAGTTCAGCATCCATTTGAGTCCGTCAGTTCAACACTGCCACCTGCTCTGTGTCAACTCCAGTCCATCTTTTGTGACACTGCCACCTGCTCTGTGTCAACTCCAGTCCATCTTTTGTGACACTGCCACCTGCTCTGTGTCTACTCCAGTCCATCTTTTGTGACACTGCCACCCGTTCTGTGTCACCTCCAGGCCATCTTTTGTGACACTGCCACCTGCTCTGTGTCTACTCCAGTCCATCTTTTGTGACACTGCCACCTGTTCTGTATCACCTCCAGGACATGTTTTGTGACACTGCCACCTGCTCTGTGTCACCTCCAGTCCATCTTTTGTGACACTGCCACCTGTTCTGTGTCACCTCCAGGCCATCTTTTGTGACACTGCCACCTGCTCTGTGTCACCTCCAGGCCATCTTTTGTGACACTGCCACCTGCTCTGTGTCACCTCCAGGGCATCAATTTCACCCTGTGCAGTGCTGCTGTATCAACTCAAGGCCATGTGTGTTATCATTGATGACAGCTCTTGATCAGTTACACTTGCTGTCTGAATTAAGTCCATTCTTTTACTCAAAAGAATGGCCAACAGGTGTTTACACTGTAACAGTAAATTAAGACCAAATACATATGGTACAAATCCATGACCTTAGTGTTATCATAGACATATTATATTTAAGCTGATCCTCATGTCAACATATTTGAATCTCCTTGTCAAACAGTCATGATCCTGAGGATAGTGGGTTATTAACTGGTTGTGGTATTACCACCTTTTCATGTGTATTAGCTAGTTCCAGAATGACATAAAGTCTTACCATCATATGGTCTTCTTTCAGAAGGACTGAAACAAACAAAAACCCAGCATATTCGTAACTTGAAACTTAATACAAATGTGGACTAAGGCATATAATGAGGGCTCCAAGCCAAAAGGTAATGGTCAGATTTATTATTATTATTTTTAATAATTTTATTTATTAAAATAAAAAATGCAGCAAAGAGGGTTTGGGTGATCTTGGCACAGTCAGGGTGGTTAGGCTCATCATCAGCTCAAGGCCCTTGCCCCCTCTACACGCAGCCCAGACAGCGAATGGGACTTCTCCCAGGAAGCACTGCCTAGTCAAACCAACCCTGAACTTTTTGGAGAATGTGAAGACTCCCCAGCACTGCAACCTTCTGCATTACTCAGATTGTCAGAAGGGCTGTATTCCTGGCAGCAAACCCGGGTACTCTCCTAATGTCAGTCAACAGATTGGGAGGTACCAAACCTAAGGCACCGAGAACATGGGTAGTTGGACAACTTGGTACTTGGGATGCAAGCGTGACATTTCGAAAGCGAGGTCTGCATATTTGCCATGTTTTTCCTGAATCTTGTCAATCACTTTAGTGTCAAAAGGGACAGATAATTCAATAATATAAATTATTTTATTGGATTTCTGAAAAAGGACAAGGTCAGGTCTGAGGCTGTATACGGGCCTATTCCAAAGAATTTTGAATTTATCATTTTCCATAACGCCCTCTACATATTCTGGGTCCTACCATGGATGGACCTCAACAACAAGCATAGCAAAGATGGTAATTAAATGATCGAGTCACTCTCTCATGTCGCTTCAGAAACTGTGTGCCAAAGCTGGGCATCCACTGACAATTTGTTGGACAGACTCGTTAAATTCATTGCATGATCTACATTTCATATTTACATTTTGATGCAAAATCACACATTGACGGTTTCAGGTGGGAAGTGACTGGTCCTCAGCAGCAAACAGAAAGTTTTCAGGCCAGCCGACTTGTTTTTCTCAATACACTGCATATTAACTCGATAGAGTGGTCGTTCAGATCTCCTTGAATCTGGGCCGATTTAATATGGCACTCTGCTTGGTTGACACTCATGTCTGTACTGTCCAGCAGTACACAACCATCAACAAAATCAAAGTGCCACATCCTTGGCTTGTTTAAGAAAACTGTGGAATACCTTGTTTTCATCATAAGTCTTGACAAACTTCACAAGAGGATCATCAGACAAATAAATGTGTGCAAAAGTGCACAATACAATTCTATCATGTAAGAACCTCCACGTTAATCAAACCACGCCCTCGCATATTAATAGGTAAACATAAGTGATTGAGGGAAGAACGAGGGTGGTGGGATCTATTGTCTGACATGATTCTTCGTGTCAGGGTGTCAATACCCTGAATTTCTTGTTTCGTCCAATCAACACCAAAAGAATACAAAAGAACAGGTACAGCGTAAGTATATGTGGCCTTAACTTTATTGCGAGCGTTAGGTCTGAACTCCAGATTTTCTTAAGTCTATATTTATACTCTGCCCGAAGACTCTCGAGTTTGTCCCTAACCTGCATCCACAAGTACTTATAGGCCTGACCTTCCACAATATGGTGAATAACTTCTCCCCCAAGTAAACTGTTTCTCCCTCTTCTACTTTGCCATGTTTCAGATAAAAAATGCTGCATTTGTCAAGTTCAGAGGACATACCGATATTATATTATTATTATTTTTTATTTTTTTTACCAGAGATAACTCAGAGATAACCAATTCCCCGATTCTGTTGTGTATGTAGACTGTTGAGTACAACAAAACTCCCAAGGCCATAGGCCCAATGACCAAGGACTAATATCTAAAAAATAATTCATTTTTAAAAAACACATTTTGCAGATTACAGATTAGTCAAGTAGTGAACTTGTGCCTTTTGACATCTTCCCGAGGCAAGAGAGTTAACTGACTTTAAAAGTCCAGTTTCCACCCTTGCCGAACTAGGCTGGAATTCCTGGGGTCTATCGTAGTGCCACCAGTGGCTATTACGAGTTATGTTCCTTCTAAGCCTCTCCTTTAGACCAATCAGATTCCACCTCTCGTATCACTTGCACTTGCTTCAAACAAAACAGTGGCGCCCATACGATCTGATCGATAATCAAGGTCTTTGTTGTGATAAAACAGGTCTTACATCGTGCAATGCGTGAGCACCTTGAATAAAAACATGAAAAGATTAGGAAAATATCTATTGACAACGAGTTGGCAGTGCACATGCTTTGCAAATCCTGCAATTGACCGAAATATGCACGACAGTTTACGAACCGGATTTCGATTTCGTTGCAAGATTTTGATTGGACTATGCATAGACTGGTTAGTCCAGCCGAAATGTAGCTCCACAATACCTGCCTAGTTCGGCAAGGGTGGAAACTGAACTTTTTTAGTCAGTTTACTTCCTTGCCCTCGGGAAGATGGCCTTTTGATGATTTGGGATTTTTATATATTTTTTTGTTTTTGTTTTTGTTTTCATGATGACAAGTTGGACTATACAGAAAATGATGCTAGTGCTCATTTCTTGAGTTGAATATCTCTTGATGAAACTTGCTATACAGATCAATCTGGTAGTGAACTGGTGCCTTTCGATGAAAATTCTGAACAGCATTATTTTTTTTTCACTGAACTAAATGTATCCTATGGCAATGAACTCCATTTCTGAATTGCACCAGATTTGGGGAATATGTCATCTAATGATGACTCTTGTTAGGTTTTTTTATGTAACACCAGCATGCAAGATGCTGTGTAAAGATATTGTAAGAAGAGTTAGTATAATATGAGAATAACCTCCATTAACAGCATTTACATCAACACTAGTACCATGTGCAATCTTGTCTGGAAAGTCTTCACGGATATAGGTATTGGTGCTGTCCTTCTGTCATGTTTGTGAATCCGGAGCTAAACTCAAACACCGTTCAATATTTCTGAACAAAATGTTGCACAGATATCAGTCTAGTAATGAACTGGTGCCTTTTTCTATTCAGGAATTCAAATCTGTACTGTATTCAAATGAGGGTAAGGTTTGTTTAGAGAGCTTAACCCAAAGACCGTTCAATATTTCTTGACACAGATATCAGCCTAGCCATGAAAGAGTGCCTGTGCTATTTATACATTTTTGAAATTTCTATGTTGTAATTATTGTAGACAGAACTTTCTCTACATTCCTTACTTCATTAGAATTCTAAAAGAGGCACCTATGACTCTAACTTGGTTTATAACAAAGTTATTAGTACTTCCAGTTTGTAACATGTCACTTCCGGTTGGAAAACAATTCTGACTGCATTTGAACTTCATACCAGAAAGTCCCATGGTTCTAGCTCCATTTGTACAAAGTTATTAGTGTACTCTGCAAAAAAAGAAACGCAAACGTAGAAAAATCATAAATAACTGACAGAGTCTTGCAGACAAAATTAAAACCAAAAATGTATTGGTCATTTCTGCATAGACTGAGATTTATTTGTGTGGAAAGACTAAGGTACTGCAGGAATTTGGTGAAAAGATGAAAAAATTCGCATAAACCATGTGAGAGCCTGGTGCCGAAATACACCAACATGCCATGCCTTTGCAACATCACTTGTTGGGCTATAAAAACATTTTCATTTGCATCACAATCTTACAGCAAGTGAACAGTGAAAACATGCCATCAGCCGACTGCAAACTGGAGAACCATCTTCAGCTGTAGCCAGGTTTTTCCAAGTAGCACCATGCACCGATACAAGACTCTGGAACCATTATCAGACATATGGGACAACACGTGACCTTCCCAGATCCGGTCGACCACGTATCACTACTAGTGCACAGGACAGATTTATACGGCTCCATCACTTACGTGAAAGAACCACCACAGCCACCTCTACAACAGTGGAAATACCAGGATTGTCTAGGATATCCGCCCAGACAGTGAGGAACTGTTTACATGCTGAAGGTATTCGAGCTAGACAACCAGTTTGAGGTGTCAGAATATAGCCACAACTGCAACAAGTTTTGTTTAGCGACGAGTCATGTTTCATGCTTCTCCGTACGGATGATAGACGTCATGTTCACATGGGTAACGTTATTCACAAAACTGCAAACAGGAAGTGGACAGATTTGGTGATGGAAGTTTGATGATGTGGGCTGCCATCTCTGACATTGGTAGAACAGACTTGGTGCAAGTTCAGGGGAATTTAACGGCACAACAGTCAACACGGATCAGATTCTTTGGCCACATGTCCTTCCCATTATACGTCATTTTCCAACAAGACAACGCCCTACCTCACACGGCAAGACTGACAACAGCCTATTTGAGGAATCACAACATCCAGGTCCTGCCATGGCCCACTAGATCTCCAGATTTAAACCCAATCAAACATTTATGGGATGCACTGGATTAACAACAGAAACTCCGACAGTTGGCACAAGCACTGCAGGCGAGTGGGTGAACATTCCCAAGCCACAATTCGGGATCTGACTGCTTCCATGGGACGATGATGCCAGTCATTCTTGGACTCTAATGGTGGCCATACAAGATATTGAGAACAAATGACCTTCACCTTGAATCTACTGTTCCATGTGTGCCATATGGAACCTGGCTAAATGACAATGATGTGTACCAATTTTGAACAAACGATCTTCATCTGTTGATTATTAATATGATATATATAAAATATACAATTCAAATCACTTTTATGCTTCTATTTTTCACAGTATAGATGTGGTTTGGATTACCTTATTTCTGCTTTCAAAATCGGGTTTCCTACATTTCACCTAAATCATATAAAAATCCTGTAACTTAACTTAAAACAAAGTTTGTTGTCTTCGAAATCAAACCAGTACTGGAAAAATACAAATTTCCAAACTTCTTCGAAACAAAAAGGCACAGGTTCATACCCAGACTGATATTTGTGGAGAAACTATGATCCAGAAATATTGAACCGACATTAAGTTATCCCCAGAAACAAACCCAACCTGTCCAAATTGTTTTTAAGGAAACTGAATAATATTATAAGCACTTTTGGTTTATTGACCTTGACCTTCAATCTTAGCAATGACCTGCCTTGAGATCATGTACATAAAGCTCAATCAAATTCCAATTATTAATCCTTAAAGATTAGGAGGTTTACTTCACATCATATGTCCTTGACCTGCAAAGTCATCCAATTACATGCGACCAAATGACTTATTGAAAACTTTGATGTGTTACAAATACAAAATCTCCATACAACTAATGCTAACAATATTTCCTGAATGAAACTATACTCTCCAAAAAAAAAAGGTACGGGATCATGAAAAGCATCCTATGAACAGTTGTCAGAAAAAAAATCAGGTTTGAAAAATGACTGCCCCTGCAAACCTGAAACATTGCATGTGGACCACGCAATTCCTCCAAGCACATGGGTAAGGGGGTCATTCTTGACTTTGACACTTCAGCAAGAGGTCGTCCATTCGCTCTGTGCCATTATTATTGTTGATTTTCATTGTCCACAGTAACACCTAAGCTCTCTAGTTCAGATTACATGGGATGAAAGGCTGAAGGCTATTGGCATGCTTCAAACTGGTAGACCTCAGTGAGAGGTAGCCTGTATGTTCAATGTGTCTCATCCTGTGATTTTCAGTCCCTCATTAGTTGTGTGGATCTATTGTAATAAAGGCTCTATTCTTAGAATTATTAATAATGATGAGTATTGTTTGATAATTCCTGCAAATACTATACCTCTGTTACATCATAGCCCGAGGGACTGGTGGGTTCTGACATCTAGTATTCCTGGAGTAGCTGACAGTATTTGTCTATCCATAATAGATCCAGACCATAAAACCTGGATCACCATGAAGGACAAAATACTTGATAATTCCATTGCCTCCAAGTGACATCACTTCTGGTATAAATGACAATACATCCAGTCCTGATGACATCACTTCCAGTACTGACCACATCACTTCCATCATAATTACTTCATTTCTGGTGTTTATGTTCTGTTCTGATGATGTTTTTCAAGTTTTATTATGTCACTTCCAGTTCTGATGACGTCACTTCCGGTTATGATGTCACTTCTGGTGAACTTGATAATCAACTCAAGATCTTATAATGTGATTCCAGCCACTAACCTATGATGATCTGCCCTACCCCCAGTAGGCAATATGATCAAATGGTTAAATTACATTCTAAAGCTGAGGCTGCCAGAAATCCTTCAGGTAGACAAGACTACTGGGCGTTCAAAGCTAGTTGACAAAGCTTTGATTTCATGGGCTGTCATGGCTCCTAATAGTGGAGAGGGAAGTTGTGCATGACAGTAACTTTCAGTTATAGTGGGGAAGGTATTTGGGGTTTTCACGTCCTCTAATGTTATGATCTCATCAGACTGTTAAGAACATAGTGGCTTCCAATGTTCAAACCATCGTGATGAAGTAATGAGGCTAAGGCTGATCTGTAGGACTGAGCTTGTTGTGGCAAAAATCCAGGTGAGGGGTGTCACACTGCAAAGTTATCAACTTGAATATGTCTGGATGGCGAGGCCAATCCGGCTATCTTGTTCCCTCAGGAAAGACTGTCTGCTAAGATTTTGTATCTTCCTGCGATATGACAGACCTCCATCCTGTATCTGATCGAGACTTCTCTGCCAAAGAAAAGTGTAATCTTTTTCAAACAAATTCACAGATCTTGTTCCCCCTTACTTCTGGATATATGCCACCAATATGGTGTTTGTCCATAGCAACTTGGATCGATGATGATGTTTCCATGACATGAGTGCGTAATATAAAATTGTTCTCATCTCGAGACAATTTTAGTTGGAGATGATTCTTTTTGTTGTCTGGAAAGTTTCCTTGGACTGTTAATCCATCAATGTGAGCTCCCCTTCCTGCACTGGATAAGTCTGTGATCAGACGATGTTTGGGTGTTAATAACCCAGATGAAGATTTTTTGTGTGAAGTTTGGCCCCGGAGGGGTATAACATTTGGTCGTAGATGATGGACTGTATGATCCCCAACATTCTAGCCCCTGGAATGTAGGCTCCTCTTCAACTTTGGGTTGTTGTTATGGCATCAAATAATACAACTGCTAATTCAATTCTGAGAGGGAAAGACTAGGTTCCGAAGATGTCCAATGACACAGTCAAAATGCCAACATACCTCAATGTCCGACATGTAATTCGATCTGTCATTGTCCCCCAGAAGATACATAGGCTATTGTCTACGGTTCAGTGGAAACCACTGATATTGATGTAAGCCATGATCCAGTGGAGTTCCATGGTGACCAGCCCTATATGTTCTCTAGTGATGGTCTCTCGAACAATCAAATCAAATCTTCTTGGGAACCCATGGACGGCAGCGTTCGCTCGTCATGCTGAAGAGTGAGTGAGTGAGTGAGTATGGTTTTACGCCGCTTTAGCAATATTCCAGCAATATGACTGCATCGGACACCAGAAATGGGCTTTACACATTGTACCCATGTTGGGAAACGAACCCAGGTCTTCGGCGTGACAAGCAAACGCTTTCACCACTAGGCTACCGCCCCTCACGCCAAAAACTCGGGTTCGATTCCCGACATGGGTACAATGTGTGAAGCCCATTTCTGGTGCCCCCCCCGCCGTGATATTGCTTGAATATTCCTAAAAGAGGCATAAAATCAAACTTACTCACTCACTCACTAAACTTTATCAACCAAAATAGGAGATTCTCATGATTCTATGATGCTAATTTAAAAACTAGAGATTATTTTAAACTATCAGTGTGACAAACTAGTAAAAGTTTGCTAGATATATATTCTCAGGATTCTTTTTGAGATGTTGACTCTAGCACACTGTACGAAGTCCACCTGGGTCTGCCTCCCTTATACAAACAGTTGACGACGTCCCATCACTCACCTGAGAACCTGTACGAAGTCCACCTGGGTCAGCCTCCCTTATACAAGCAGTCGACGTCCCTTCACTCACCTGAGAACCTGTACGAAGTCCACCATGGTCTGCCTCCCTTATACAAACAGTTGACGACGTCCCTTCACTCACCTGAGAACCTGTACGAAGTCCACCATGGTCTGCCTCCCTTATACAAGCAGTCGACGTCCCTTCACTCACCTGAGAACCTGTACGAAGTCCACCTGGGTCTGCCTCCCTTATACAAACAGTTGACGACGTCCCTTCACTCACCTGAGAACCTGTACGAAGTCCACCATGGTCTGCCTCCCTTATACAAGCAGTCGACGTCCCTTCACTCACCTGAGAACCTGTACAAAGTCCACCTGGGTCTGCCTCCCTTATACAAACAGTTGACGACGTCCCTTCACTCACCTGAGAACCTGTACGAAGTCCACCATGGTCTGCCTCCCTTATACAAGCAGTCGACGTCCCTTCACTCACCTGAGAACCTGTATGATGGACAGGAGCAGTATATGCTGGATGTAAAGCAAGCGTAAGGTGTGCCTGAACTCCCGATTACCTGTATACAACACAAATACAGATTGTCGTGAGTGAATAACACATCTTAGAGCAGACTTGCAGACTAGCATGCAGTGGAATGAAACAAATTTAGGATGTTGTGGATGAAGGAGACAGAGGGTGGTAGCAGATTGAGGATGTAGTGGATGGAAGTAGATGGAGGATGTAGTGGGTGGAAGCAGATGGAGGCTGTAGTGGATGGAAGCAGATGGAGGCTGTAGTGGACGGAAGCAGATGGAGGATGTAGTGGATGGAAGCAGATGGAGGATGTAGTGGGTGGAAGCAGATGGAGGCTGTAGTGGACGGAAGCAGATGGAGGATGTAGTGGATGGAAGCAGATGGAGGATGTAGTGGATGGTAGCAGATGGAGGATGTAGTGGATGGAAGCAGATGGAGGATGTAGTGGGTGGAAGGAGATTGAGGCTGTAGTGGACGGAAGCAGATGGAGGATCTAGTAGACGGAAGCAGATGGAGGATGTAGTGGATGGAAGCAGATGGAGGATGTAGTGGATGGAAGCAGATGGAGGATGTAGTGGATGGTAGCAGATGGAGGATGTAGTGGATGGTAGCAGATGGAGGATGTAGTGGATGGAAGCAGATGGAGGATGCAGTGGATGGTAGCAGATGGAGGATGTAGTGGATGGTAGCAGATGGAGGATGTAGTGGATGGAAGCAGATGGAGGATGTAGTTGTTGGTAGCAGATGGAGGATGAAGTGGATGGAAGCAGATGGAGGATGTAGTGGATGGTAGCAGATGGAGGATGCAGCGGGTGGTAGCAGATGGAGGATGCAGTGGATGGTAGCAGATGGAGGATGTAGTGGGTGGAAGCAGATGGAGGATGTAGTGGGTGGAAGCAGATGGAGGATGTAGTGGGTGGAAGCAGATGGAGGATGTAGTGGGTGGAAGCAGATGGAGGATGTAGTGGATGGAAGCAGATGGAGGATGTAGTGGATGGAAGCAGATGGAGGATGTAGTGGATGGTAGCAGATGGAGGATGCAGTGGGTGGTAGCAGATGGAGGATGCAGTGGATGGAAGCAGATGGAGGATGTAGTGGGTGGTAGCAGATGGAGGATGCAGTGGATGGAAGCAGATGGAGGATGTAGTGGATGGTAGCAGATGGAGGATGTAGTGGATGGTAGCAGATGGAGGATGTAGTGGGTGGATGGAAGCAGATGGAGGATGTAGTGGACGGAAGCAGATGGAGGATGCAGTGGATGGAAGCAGATGGAGGATGTAGTGGATGAAAGCAGATGGAGGATGTAGTGGGTGGATGGAAGCAGATGGAGGATGTAGTGGATGGAAGCAGATGGAGGATGCAGTGGATGGTAGCAGATGGAGGATGTAGTGGATGGAAGCAGATGGAGGATGTAGTGGGTGGAAGCAGATGGAGGCTGTAGTGGATGGAAGCAGATGGAGGATGCAGTGGATGGAAGCAGATGGAGGATGTAGTGGATGGAAGCAGATGGAGGATGTAGTGGATGGAAGCAGATGGAGGATGCAGTGGATGGTAGCAGATGGAGGATGTAGTGGATGGTAGCAGATGGAGGATGTAGTGGATGGAAGCAGATGGAGGATGTAGTGGATGGAAGCAGATGGAGGATGTAGTGGATGGTAGCAGATGGAGGATGTAGTGGATGGAAGCAGATGGAGGATGAAGTGGGTGGAAGGAGATTGAGGCTGTAGTGGACGGAAGCAGATGGAGGATCTAGTAGACGGAAGCAGATGGAGGATGTAGTGGATGGAAGCAGATGGAGGATGTAGTGGATGGAAGCAGATGGAGGATGTAGTTGTTGGTAGCAGATGGAGGATGAAGTGGATGGTAGCAGATTGAGGATGTAGTGGATGGAAGCAGATGGAGGATGCAGTGGATGGAAGCAGATGGAGGATGTAGTGGACGGAAGCAGATGGAGGATGTAGTGGATGGTAGCAGATGGAGGATGTAGTGGATGGTAGCAGATGGAGGATGTAGTGGATGGAAGCAGATGGAGGATGTAGTGGATGGAAGCAGATGGAGGATGTAGTGGACGGAAGCAGATGGAGGATGTAGTGGATGGTAGCAGATGGAGGATGTAGTGGATGGTAGCAGATGGAGGATGCAGTGGGTGGTAGCAGATGGAGGATGTAGTGGATGGAAGCAGATGGAGGATGTAGTGGACGGAAGCAGATGGAGGATGTAGTGGATGGAAGCAGATGGAGGATGTAGTGGATGGAAGCAGATGGAGGATCTAGTAGACGGAAGCAGATGGAGGATGTAGTGGATGGTAGCAGATGGAGGATGTAGTGGATGGATGGAAGCAGATGGAGGATGCAGTGGATGGTAGCAGATGGAGGATGCAGTGGATGGAAGCAGATGGAGGATGTAGTGGATGGTAGCAGATGGAGGATGTAGTGGATGGTAGCAGATGGAGGATGTAGTGGGTGGATGGAAGCAGATGGAGGATGTAGTGGACGGAAGCAGATGGAGGATGCAGTGGATGGAAGCAGATGGAGGATGTAGTGGATGAAAGCAGATGGAGGATGTAGTGGGTGGATGGAAGCAGATGGAGGATGTAGTGGATGGAAGCAGATGGAGGATGCAGTGGATGGTAGCAGATGGAGGATGTAGTGGATGGTAGCAGATGGAGGATGTAGTGGATGGTAGCAGATGGAGGATGTAGTGGATGGAAGCAGATGGAGGATGCAGTGGATGGTAGCAGATGGAGGATGTAGTGGATGGAAGCAGATGGAGGATGTAGTGGATGGAAGCAGGCGGAGGATGTAGTGGGTGGTAGCAGATGGAGGATGTAGTGGGTGGAAGCAGATGGAGGATGTAGTGGATGGAAGCAGGCGGAGGATGTAGTGGATGGAAGCAGGCGGAGGATGTAGTGGGTGGAAGCAGATGGAGGATGTAGTGGATGAAAGCAGATGGAGGATGTAGTGGGTGGATGGAAGCAGATGGAGGATGTAGTGGATGGAAGCAGATGGAGGATGCAGTGGATGGTAGCAGATGGAGGATGTAGTGGATGGTAGCAGATGGAGGATGTAGTGGATGGTAGCAGATGGAGGATGTAGTGGATGGAAGCAGATGGAGGATGCAGTGGATGGTAGCAGATGGAGGATGTAGTGGATGGAAGCAGATGGAGGATGTAGTGGATGGAAGCAGGCGGAGGATGTAGTGGGTGGTAGCAGATGGAGGATGTAGTGGGTGGAAGCAGATGGAGGATGTAGTGGATGGAAGCAGGCGGAGGATGTAGTGGATGGAAGCAGGCGGAGGATGTAGTGGGTGGAAGCAGATGGAGGATGTAGTTGGTGGAAGCAGATGGAGGATGTAGTCGGTGGAAGCAGATGGAGGATGTAGTGGCTTGAAGCAGATGGAGGATGTAGTGGACGGAAGCAGATGGAGGATGTAGTGGATGGTAGCAGATGGAGGATGTAGTGGATGGAAGCAGATGGAGGATGTAGTGGATGGAAGCAGGCGGAGGATGTAGTGGGTGGTAGCAGATGGAGGATGTAGTGGATGGAAGCAGGCGGAGGATGTAGTGGATGGAAGCAGGCGGAGGATGTAGTGGATGGAAGCAGGCGGAGGATGTAGTGGATGGTAGCAGATGGAGGATGTAGTGGATGGAAGCAGGCGGAGGATGTAGTGGATGGAAGCAGGCGGAGGATGTAGTGGATGGAAGCAGGCGGAGGATGTAGTGGATGGTAGCAGATGGAGGATGTAGTGGATGGAAGCAGATGGAGGATGTAGTGGATGGAAGCAGATGGAGGATGTAGTGGATGGAAGCAGGCGGAGGATGTAGTGGATGGAAGCAGGCGGAGGATGTAGTGGATGGAAGCAGGCGGAGGATGTAGTGGATGGTAGCAGATGGAGGATGCAGTGGATGGAAGCAGATGGAGGATGTAGTGGATGGTAGCAGATGGAGGATGTAGTGGATGGAAGCAGATGGAGGATGTAGTGGATGGAAGCAGATGGAGGATGTAGTGGATGGTAGCAGATGGAGGATGTAGTGGATGGAAGCAGATGGAGGATGTAGTGGATGGAAGCAGGCGGAGGATGTAGTGGATGGAAGCAGGCGGAGGATGTAGTGGGTGGAAGCAGATGGAGGATGCAGTGGATGGTAGCAGATGGAGGATGTAGTGGATGGAAGCAGGCGGAGGATGTAGTGGGTGGAAGCAGGCGGAGGATGTAGTGGATGGTAGCAGATGGAGGATGCAGTGGATGGAAGCAGGCGGAGGATGTAGTGGATGGAAGCAGGCGGAGGATGTAGTGGATGGAAGCAGGCGGAGGATGTAGTGGATGGTAGCAGATGGAAGATGTAGTGGATGGAAGCAGATGGAGGATGTAGTGGATGGAAGCAGGCGGAGGATGTAGTGGATGGTAGCAGATGGAGGATGCAGTGGATGGTAGCAGATGGAGGATGTAGTGGATGGAAGCAGATGGAGGATGTAGTGGGTGGAAGCAGATGGAGGATGTAGTGGATGGTAGCAGATGGAGGATGTAGTGGATGGAAGCAGATGGAGGATGTAGTGGATGGAAGCAGATGGAGGATGTAGTGGATGGTAGCAGATGGAGGATGTAGTGGATGGAAGCAGATGGAGGATGTAGTGGATGGAAGCAGATGGAGGATGTAGTGGACGGAAGCAGATGGAGGATGTAGTGGATGGTAGCAGATGGAGGATGTAGTGGCTGGGTGGAAGCAGATGGAGGATGAAGTGGATGGAAGCAGATGGAGGATGCAGTGGATGGTAGCAGATGGAGGATGTAGTGGATGGAAGCAGATGGAGGATGTAGTGGATGGAAGCAGATGGAGGATGTAGTGGCTGGGTGGAAGCAGATGGAGGATGTAGTGGATGGAAGCAGGCGGAGGATGAAGTGGATGGTACTGCTGTCTACAGTGGGGTGTACTGCTGTCTATAGTGGAGTGTACTGCTGTCTACAGTGGGGTGTACTGCTGTCTATATTGGAGTGTACTGCTTTTCCTCAGTGGGGTGTACTGCTGTGTACAGTGGGGTGTGCTGCTGTCTTCAGTGGAGTGTACTGCTGTCTACAGTGGGGTGTACTGCTGTCTACAGTGGGGTGTACTGCTGTCTACAGTGGGGTGTACTGCTGTCTACAGTGGGATGTACTGCTGTCTACAGTGGGGTGTACTGCTGTCTTTAGTGGAGTGCACTGCTGTCTACAGTGGGGTGTACTGCTGTCTACAGTGGGGTGTACTGCTGTCTACAGTGGGGTGTACTGCTGTCTACAGTGGGGTGTACTGCTGTCTACAATGGAGTATACAGCTGTCTATAATGGAGTGTACAGCTGTCTACAGTGGGGTGTACTGCTGTCTACAGTGGGGTGTACTGCTGTCTAAAGTGGGGTGTACTGCTGTCTACAGTGGGGTGTACTGCTGTCTACAGTGGGGTGTACTGCTGTCTACAATGGAGTGTACAGCTGTCTACAGTGGGGTGTACTGCTTAACTGTCTACAGTGGGGTGTACTGCTGTCTACAATGGAGTGTACAGCTGTCTACAGTGGGGTGTACTGCTTTACTGTCTACAGTGGAGTACTGACCTGGTAGAGAGACCTCCCTGAGGGGGATGTCATGAAGCTAACGGCTTTCTTGTCTACAAGATCAAGAGCAGGTAATAATGGAGCTTGGAACACAAACTGCAACCTGAAAGAGGAAAAGACAGGAACATGCTTAAAATGGCTGTATCAAGACATTACTATTCATAATTCATATTAAGAAATATCAGTGATGAAATTCTTACTTCACTATTTTGAGAAATGAGATAAAAACATAATATGATTTATTGATAAAAGCACAACTGATTTTCTTGCCTCACATAAGTATTGATGGACATCACGTTTACATTTTGTGGGGTTCCTAGTACTGTAGTATTAATAAATACCAGGAATTCTGGTGAATGGAGACTGCATCCTCAGACCCATGTAGAAATTAGATATATATATTCCTAACGAGGGTTTTCTAGCCATTAAAGATATCCATACTGCTTATTCAGCTGATCATACAACTGTAAAGAAATTAAAATACTCACGATGACAAAATCTCATCTGTAACTGGAAACAGAATAGAAATAAAATGAACCATGTTGACTTTGTTGTGGATGTGTTCCACTACCCCATTAAACAACATCACAACAGGAGAATGATGGAAACCTCCCTTCTGGACAACATTAACTAGGGAACACTTTGCTTCATGTCAGTTTCAGGATCTGGGTGTGGTTCGCAGTGGAAGACTAAACTAAACTAAACATGAACCTACCTTGCAATCAACTAAACATGAAATCCCCTTGTAATCAACTAAACGTGAAATCCCCTTGTAATCAACTAAACGTGAAATCCCCTTGTAATGTAATGAACAATGAAAATGTAATAAGATAAAATGAAATGGATTTGAAACTCAAAGTGAAGTTGCCGTATGTTAATGTAAATTGGTAACTCTCTCAACTATTTCTAATCTATTCTATTCTGTTTCTGTACTATTCTAATTCACTATTTTGTAACTTAGAGAGAGATATCCATTTACTACTTGCCCACATGAATGCCAAAAGCCAACTGAAATAAACTGCGTCTAGAGCATGCGCATTTTACGCTCATCCAGCAAGAAGCACGTGCTGCATGCCAACTTTAACGCTTTCCGCGAAGCTGTTGTGTACCCATGAATCAACCACTGTGTCCAGGAACATGACACTTGTTCTCTGACGCTTTTTCCCGGACGCTTCAGTACATGCCCCCTTCCATGATAGACCCCTGTCTATCATCTATTCGGAACAATACTTCATCAAAACAACCCAGTTGACAAACTACAAAAACCCTAACTTATTTACAACAATGACTATTCCATGAAAACAGCAGCACTATTTACAACCTTGAACAACTGGTTGTTGTTCAGTCTCGATATTCGAGAGGACAGATCTTTGTAACTGGTCGAGTCAATCTCGACCCTCCAACTTTAACATCTACAACTCTAACATGGCCATCTTTGCCTGGGTAAGTCTTCAATATCCTTTCCATTGGCCAAGTTCCTCTTGGATTATCTTGTGATACGACAATCACCACATCATCAACTTGGAAGTCTCTTGATGACGTGACCCACTTTTTTCTGACATTCAACGTTGGAAGCCACTCTCTCATCTATCTCCTCCAGATATGCCTGATGAGTTCCTGGATCCTCCGCCAACGCCTCTGGGGAGAAAAGGAGGTGGAATCTATTTCTGGAGCGAAGTCTCCACCAAGCTGCCCATGTAGAAAGTGGTTTGGTGTTAGCTGATCATCATCCTGTGTGGGCACTCTGATATGTGAGTGGTCTTGAATTCAACAGAGCTTCAGCCTCAGTAAAAGCAGTCATCAGTTCTTCATCGGTGACATCACTTGAGCTGAGGACAGCATAAATAGCCTGTTTAGCTGACTTGACCATTGATTCAAATATTCCTCCGTAGTGAGGAGCATTTGGAGGATTAAATCTCCATACAATGCCTCTGTTTGCCAATTTCGATTTTGTGATGTCAGAGTCTAATGAAGTCACCAGCTCTTTAAGCTCTTTTACAGCTCCAACGAAATTCGTCCCATTGTCCGATATAATCTCCTTGGGCATTCCTCTTCTGTGTGCCATGCAGAAGAGAGCATTCAAGAATGAATTTGTGTCTAGTCCGAAAGCGATCTCTAAATATACTGCGTGTGTAGCTAGGCATGTGAACAGGCACAGGTAACGCTTTTGATGGCTTTTACCACGACCCTGTACAGTAAGAAATGGACCAGCGAAATCTACCCCAGCTTTAACAAATACTCTCATTGAACAAACTACTCTCACCTTTGGAAGATTGCCCATGAGTTGTGCTGGCTTTGCTTTTTGCTTTTTACACTAAGAACATGCATTTTCCTATTCACGAATTTCCTCCCTCGAGGATATTATCCAGAACTTTGTAGACAATGAGGCTAATGTTGTATTTGTTCCCATGTGGTGACACATTTCATGATGATGTTTAACTATCAACTTTGTCACGGGGCTTTTTCGGGGAAGAATAATAGGAAACCTTGCTTCCCAGGACAGGACTTCTGCAAACCTCAGTCTGCCATTTAATCTCATCACTCCTGTTTCATCCAGAAAAGGCTGTAATCCTATGAGTTTACTCTTAGGTGGTATTCTGCTGTCCTGTTTCAGTGCCAAATACTCTTTAGGAAATGCTTCCATTTGATCTTTTGAAATTAGTTTCCTTTCAGCTTCTTCAATCTCTTCTAGGTCCAGATCTTCTTTCCTTCTCATATTCTTTTGTGTCCGAGAATTACTGAGAAACCTGTAGACCCATGTAAAGATTCTACACAGTCTTTTCCAGTCGGAGAACCTACATGGATCCAAACGCCATGTCTAATCAACATCTTGCACCATCATTGTCACTTTCATATTTGATCCCGTTTTCCTTTCCAGCTCAACTTTCTGGAAAGCATGTATCTGCTTTGGCCATAGGCTCACATCAAGTTTTAAAAACTCAGGACCTTGTAGCCATGCTTTTGTACCAAGTGTTTCAGGTTTACTACCTTTTGTAAGTATGTCTGCTGTATTCAACTTAGTTGGCACATGCATCCATTGGCTGGGTTTTGTCACTTCTTGTATAAAACCCACACGATTGGCCACAAATGGCTTAAAGCTTCTACTGTGGCTTTTTATCCACCACAACACGTTCATGCTATCAGAGCAGATCCTTGCATCATAAGGTGACATTTCTAGGCCTTTTGCAATAGCAGGCAGAAGTTTCACCCCAAGAACCGCTGCCATCAACTCGAGTCGTGGAACACTGATAGCCTTCAGTGGAGCAACATGACTTTTTGCAGCTACAAGTTGACTCGTTGTCTTGTGTTCATTAACACTCACCAGATAAATGACTGCTCCAAAAGCATCTTGTGATGCATCTACAAACACATGTAGGTTTGGATTGGCTATTTCTGTTCTAAATTCTATCCATCTTGGAAAATATAAAGACTTCAAATCTGCCAATTCCCTATACCATTGCAAGACATTTTCTTCTAACTCAGGATGCAGACTGTCATCCCACACCAGACACCCAAATGTGTTGCAATATTATCTTTGCCCGAATGGTAAATGGAGCTAACAGTCCTAAAGAATCAAATATCTTAGCAATCTCCCTTAAGAAAGCTCTTTTTGACATTTGAAAGTGATCATTTGGGATGTTGTAGCAGAATTGAAACCTATCACTCTGCATTCCAGAGCTTTCACTGATGGCAGTTCAGTCATCTGAATATTAATTTCAGATGGTCTATCTGCAACTAGAATACATTCAAGAACCTTCAATGAATTGGAGACCCACTTCCTGTCATGCATTCCAGCTGTAGTCCACAGTTCATTCACCTGATCATAAAGCTCTACTGCTTTTTCTTCGGTTTCTACCGAATCCATTGTGTCATCCATGTATGTTGATTTAGCAAATGTGTCTGCAGCCAAAGGAAGATGATTTTTGCATGCCTTAGCATGTTCCTGTGTAACATACTGTGCTATAAATGGTGAACAATTCATTCCGAAGACTACCCGTGAAAATTCATATACATCAGGTTCTTCCTCCATGTTCATTGATCTCCATAGAAATCTGAAGTACGGTTGATCAGCTTCAGTAATCTTGATTTGCAAGTACATTTCTGCAATGTCGCATATGATTTCGATTGGATGTGTTCCAAATCTTAGCAATATTTCAACAAGATCATTCTGCATTTTTAGACCTTGGAGAACAACATCATTAAAGGACACCCTATCACTTCTTGCTGACGCATCCAAAACCATCCTTACCTTCATTGTATTTCGTTCAGGTTGGACCACGGGAAAATGAGGTAAGTACCAACATTTTTTGTTGACTTCTTTTTCAGGAACTTATGTAGTAGTATAGGTAATGGGGGTTCTGGCTCACTTCCACTGGAGCCGGATTCATATACCTATACTGCTACTACAGATGGAATTTTTTATGCCAAAATGATTATGTGATTTAATGATAGTCATGAGATTGGCTCTAGCTCACCAATACCTGGGGCCAATCATTGCTTTAGATGAGTCTAAATGGTAATAAAAATATTCTTTATTATTTTTATCGATAAAGCGATATTCAACATTTTTATTAAGTTCTTCGTTCATTTTACTAGGAGACCAGACTATATAACTACACTCTTTTTGTAAATTGATAAGAAACAATTGATAACCGTATTTGGTTGGTTTGGCATCACTGATATAATAAAAACCTTGTGGTAATTCTTTCCATTGAATAGCTTTCTCCATTATTATATATTTATGTTAGCATTTGTCTAAATGTAATCACACGATAGTAAGCAATCTATTTTTAATCTCCAACCAGTTCTTTGGTTTTGGCACGGAATAATTGACGCGCTTGTTGCCTCCCCTGTTCTATGAACTTTTTTTTCTCGTCTTCGCTAATACCACTGGTCTTACGAGAATTTGATCGAATCTCCTGCTTCATTTTATTGTATTTGGTGAGTTCCGACAGCACTAAACGAAACTCATCTTCGGATATCTTACAATCGGCCATTGCTGTCGAAATATGATCCTCAATGCTGTTCAACTTTGCTTCGGCGAGTATCCGAATACTATCGTGTTTTAATGCTTTCTTTTGTAACCTACGAGAAATGAATTTTATCGCTATTCCTGCCAGTCCCGAGACTCCAGCTGTTATTTCCATGCCGAGCACGATAGGCGCGGCGATTATAGTTGATAGTAAACCGATACCCGCTACACCGAGTCCCATGCCAGATACTAAAAGCACGGTGTCAACTCCGTCCAGAGCATTCACGGCTCTGCGATACTTTTTATACAATCCAAGTCTCAACTCCCTATCCTTCCCTATTCGATGTTTTATGTCGCTTATTTGATGTAATTGAAATCCATCAACAGTTTCCATCTTTTCAAATGCTTCACCGAGCGCCGGATATAAACTCATAGTGTATATTACGATCATATAATAGTCTTTAATTGGTCTTGCTTAAATGTTTTGAGACTATACATCAATCTTATCAAATGTATATTATACGGCAAGAATATCTTA